CCTCTCCAGCACTGGGATCACAGGTGTGCGCCACTATGCCTGGACTCTGTGGCCAGCTCAGCCTGCCCCAGGGGCATGGCTGGTGGAGCCTGCACTGCGAGGGATATGAACTCTGGTTCCTGCCCTTGCCTATGCTTGCCTAAGCAGGTTCTTCAGTCCTCTGAGCTATCTCGCTGGCACCCAAAATTGAATCTTTGATTGAGTACAATCCTCAGGGCTTCAGCCACGGAGGATCGTGCATGTGGATTCTCCTCATGACTTAGGTATGTAGGCTGAGATTTATACCGAGGGAACACCCAAGCCAAATCCCAGGGATGCATATGGGAGAACTCACATTTGCCGCCTCCAGTTGGCAAAAGCACAGCAGTGGCTCGGGTAGGTGAGGCTGGCTTCCATGAGGGCAACAAACTTTTCCAGACTAGGAAGCTTTTTTAAGTTGTAAGTTGACCTGGCTCTCAACTTCTTTAGATTTTCTAAGCCGTGGTTGGGCAGAGAATTGATCCTTGTTCTTGAAATATCTCTATCAGGAGAAGAGGAAAATAAGATATGATTATTGAGAGCCCAACTTTTCTGTTCTCAGTTGCCAACATAGTGGACTTTCTAGGGGAGAAATGTTCTTACATGGGTGAAAAGGAGGCTCTCGTTTGCCCAGAGCACCTCAGTGAGGTCAGTGTTTGGCTAATAGACATTTGGCTTGTGTAGGAGACCTGGTGCTGGCATTCCCGATAGAAAGCCCGCCCTGATTCTTGCATGTACTTGCGTCCTGGCTGGTCTGGCGTCTAACTCTTGCTTGTGAGGAGAAGTATCCACCTCTTCTTCTGTAGCCTCCCTATTTATCGCCACTAGCTTTTAGAAGACTGAGAAATAGATGCCATTTGCCCCATAATAGGACTAGCTATAACAATATGTCCCATGAACTATGGTGGAGCCAGAAGCCAAATTTCAGAAGAGGGTAAGAAGGCATTACACCAAGGGGGACAAGCCTTGCAGGCAGTGAAGACAGCCTTGGCATCAAGTTTGGGTAGCAGATGGAGTGGAGATTAAGGTCCTGGCCAGATGCCTGTATGCATACCTGCCCCTTATATATACTAATTTGTGATTGTCATGTCTTATATATGCAGTGTTCCCCCAAAGCTTATTTACTGAGGGCCAACCATTGAGGAGTTCATAACTGAGTGAGCTGTTAGAAGGTGGGACATATTTGGAAGAAATGGGTTACTAAGAGTACTGCTCTAAGGGTATGACAATTTTTCTTGGGCTTTTTCTTCCTTCTCTGCTTCCTGACTGCCGAGGGGGGAGCAACTTTCCTCTGCCACACTTCTGCCATGGATTTCTGCCTTGTAGCCAGCCCATCATGGGCTGAACATCTTTTCCTTCACATTGTGGATGTCAGGTTCTTTTTCCCAGCAACCACAAGATGAACAATGTAAAATCTTATCTGGATCATTGAGCCTCACTCCTGGTACCAGTTTCCTCTGCTCAGCTCTTCCTCAGTGTGATCGATACCTGACAAGAGCAACTCAAAGAAGACCTTTGCTTCGGCTCGCAGTTCAGGGGTGTCTGCGCACAGCTGGCTATTTCCATTGCCATGGGCCTGAGTTCTGCTAGAACATCACCACAGAGGGGTGTGGTGAGCAATGGTGCTCACTTCATGGCGGATGGGAAGCAGAGGGAGAAGGGAGGAGTCAGAGAGAGGAACAAGGTGAGGACATGTCCTCATGACCCACTTCCTCCACCAGGCCCAGCTCCTAACAGCCCAGTGACCCATGACTCATCAATGGATAATCCACTGAGGAGGTTCGCATACCCTGATCAGACACTTCAGAACATTGCTGCACTGAAGATCAAGCCCTCAATACATTAATCTTTGAAGGATTCTTTGTAATTGATGCCATGACGTAACCTTAGTCAACTTAGGTCACCTTTCTATGTTTTAGTTTCTTCTGCCTCAGAGGTTGCTGTGAAATTTAAATG